AATAGTCCCCTGTGGGCGGTGAAAAAGAAGGCAGCGCCGGGGGATAATAAGGAAAAATACAGAGTGGTAGTGGACTATCGTAGGTTGAACGACAACACGGTAGACGAAAAGTACCCGATCCCCAGATTCGAAGATATACTCGATAGGTTGAGTGGGGCCGTGGTGTTTAGCACGTTGGACCTCAAGGCGGGATATCACCAAATACGGATGCACCCGAAGGACCAACATAAGACGGCGTTTACATTCGAAAGGGGGCATTACGAATTCACCAGAATGCCGTTTGGTCTGAAGAATGCGCCCATAACGTTTCAACGCCTGATGGACGAATTTCTGAGGGGTATCGACGACTCCGTATGTCAAGTATACATGGACGACCTGCTGATTTTTAGCAGAACGGAAGCCGAACACGTGGGGCATTTGAGGTCGGTATTCGAAAGGCTGCGACAATTCGGGCTGAAACTGTCAAGCGAGAAGTCCCTGTTGGGACAAACGCGGATCAATTTTTTAGGCCACACTATTTCTAGCGAGGGGGTCAGACCGGATGCGGCAAAGGTGGAGGCTATCACACGAATGGCGGTGCCACGGGACGTTAAAGGGATTCGTAGGCTTCTCGGGACGCTGAATTATTATAGAAGATTCGTACCTGAGATGGCAGAATACTTGGTACCTATCAATAACTTGCTGAAGAAAGGCGCGAGGATCGTGGTGACACCGGAAATGGAAAATAATATTCGGAAATGCATGGATAGGTTGCAGGCAGAACCCGTATTGGCGTTCCCGGATTTTGAGAAGCAGTTCAACATCACCACCGATGCGAGCGAATACGCGTTGGGGGCCGTTTTATCCCAGGGCAGAAGTGAGGGTGAACGTCCGATAGCATACGCGAGCCGACGACTTACGAGCGCGGAATCACGGTACAGCGCGTTAGAGAGGGAGCTACTCGCGATAGTGTGGGCCATCGACCATTTCAGGCCATACATATTTGGGAGGAAGTTTCGAGTCCACACCGATCACAAACCCCTTCAGTGGGTAGGAAAACTTAAGGAAACCTCTGCGAGGGTCACGAGATGGAAAGAATTCCTTAGTCAGTACAACATGGAGGTGGTGTATAAGCCGGGAAAGGAAAACGTGGTGGCAGACTGGCTCTCTAGGGCCATCATGATCAACGCGGTAGAAGAGGACGGGGGAGGTCCATCGCGGGACGTGCGCCAATTCTTGAGGGAATGGACTCCTGAGGGTGAAGGGGCAGATGATACCGTCAGTATAGAGGACAGGGAGGGGTCCCCGGAAGAAGATAGCTCAGCGGAGGAAAGACCAGTGGCGATGGAGGAAATAGACGAAATCATCAACGACAAGCATAGACAGGTAATCTGGAAAACCAGGACAACAGGGATCATGAAAATAGATTACCGAAGATACGGGAAAAGTAGGATTCGCGTCATTTGGTCGCAACCCGGGGTGAGCGAGGAGCAAATCCGTACGGCACTGAAGGACGCCACGGAACCGGGAAAGACACACCATCTCTATGTTGGGAACAACACGGTATGGGAGAAAATAAAGCGGATGTGGAGATCCGAGCGAATAGGCATGGATAGAACGATCATCCGGTGCAAGTATGCAGTGGAAACCGTACAGGATGAGGAGCAACAACAAGCAGTCACATTGGCATACCACCAGGGGAAGACCAACCACCGAGGCGTCAACGAGACGTTGCAGGCATTACGGCGAAAGTATTTCTGGTGGGGAATGAAAAAATCTATCCAAGGAATCATCGGGAAATGCGAGGTATGTATGCGCACAAAGTATGATCGACACCCCCCCAGAGGAGTTCAGGAAGAGACACCTACAGGGAATATGCCGCTACAAGACCTCCAGATCGATACATTCACCTGGAAAGGGTTCAAGTGGGTCACGATCATCGACACCTTTAGTAAAGTAGCTATGGCACATCAGGTCATGGACAAGTCTGCCAATGCAGTTGCGGAAGCCCTACAAATCTGGATACAGTTTTACGGAGTTCCCGAGAGGATCACATCAGACGGTGGCAGAGAGTTCGACAATACCGCGATTAGGGAGGAGGTGAAAAGGTTAGAGGTTGTGTGGCATTATAACACACCGGGACACCCTAAGAGTAGAGGAGGAATCGAACGTTTGCACAGCACGTTGAGTGACCACATCCGTGTATATCAGGGAGAGAAAGGGTTGGAGCCGGATGTTGCGATGAAGAAAGCCGTAACAGCTTACAACCATTCGATCCACTCCGTAACGGGGTTTTCACCTGTGGAAATACTATTCGGGATGCGCAGGCCAAGGAGAGATTGGGGGGAAACAACGACCAATGAACATCTCGTAGAGCAAATCCAGAGTACTAGGGTAGAGGTAGAAAAGACGTGGGGAAAGGTAACGGGGAGAATTCAGCGGGAAAAGGAGAAGCGGGTAGCGCGGCAGAATGTGCAGGTACGTGACCGAATGGGAGAATTAAAAATCGGAACAATAGTGTATCGTAGAATTGGAACCAACAGAGGGAAACAATTGTTACGGTACGAGGGCCCATTCAGAGTGGTTGCTATTAGGGAGCATAATCTGGTAACCATTGAAAGCATTAACGAACCTAAGAAGAGGAGAACTGTTCATATTGAACAATTGAAGCTCCCAATGTTAGAACCGGTACAGAAACCAATTGATTCGTAGTACCCTTATCGCGTATTATAAGAAATATGTTTTTTTTATTATTATTATTGTGGATGATGTCATTTTTTTTTTATTTTTGTTGTTCTTGTAAATAAAGATATAGCAACATAATAGAGGTGATTGTAATTTTTATAGGATTAAGAGTTCTGTTCCATTGTTAATAAGACGTTGTGTGTTTACTTTCTGTGGTTTATTTCTTTTTATTTATTTCTCGTTCCAGCGGAGTGGAAGTGAGTTTTGGTGTACTTTAAGTTTATACTGGTACGAATAATTGTAAAGGGTTAAGGCTGATACCGGTGGCTCCGATCTAGGAATTTATAAGTTTCCGAAAATCCTATTCGTAAACTGGTGGGGGGGAGATAAAGACCGGAGACTGGCGATATCAGCCTTAATACCATCTTGTAATGTAAATAAACATAACAATTGTATATAAGGCAGATTATTGAACGAATAAAGCAGTGTTTATTCAGAAGCCGTGAGTATTGTTTCTCGTTCCTTTTTCCTTCTTTTTTTTTATTTGCAAAGCCCGGCGACGCTTAACTTATATATATATATATATATATATATATATATATATATCTGACTGAGGCTCAAAAGCCCATATTTCTGTCCTCGTTAATTATTCTAAATGGATTCATTCCGGAATAAATTAAAGATTATTATTATTATTATTATTATATATATATATATATATATATATTATTTTTTTTCGGTTGGCACTACAGACCATGAAGATCTTTGGTCGCGAGATGTGGTCTCCTTACAGACCTATGTTGCTTGCGGGAGCTCAAATAGCCTGGAGGAGATCACCCATCCTCACGTTGCTACGAACCATGGTCTTCATGGTGCAGCAGCAGGCCACCCGTAGCTCCATAGCCGATTCCTATGGGACTAATCTGGCAGTGTGCTTCCCACAGACTGACTCGGGTTCAAGGACAGTGACAAATCGGTTTAAATCCATGAATTATGACTGCCCGGAGTCAGGAGGCGCACGAGTACCTATATTTCATAGACCGAAACAGACCGTCCATGGATTGAACCTCAGAGGGGCTGCTAAAATCCTGGTAGACCACATCCCATCCCGATTCTCGATTAAGTACACGGAGTAGGGTCATCAGTCCGACGCCCGGTCGGTGTGAGTTGCCTCCAGTAGGCTGATGGGTCTCACATACCCGGGGGAGGGGAGAGATTCGGGTAGCTTGGCTTTTCTGGTGGAGGTTCACCCAAATCGGGCAGTCACCCATCCAAGTATTAACTACGCTCGACGTTGCTTAACTTTGATCACCTATTGCAAGCGCCTTAGCACGTAGGGCTACCCCAGCATATATATTTTAACATCTCTCTTATATTTTACACATAACAGTAATATAATCTCGGAAGATCACTTTAATACTATTAGGATACTTTCTAAATAAATAAGAAGTTATTAAATAATAATCACAATTATAAGGGTATTAATATATTTTACTAAACTTTATAATCATTTTATCTCAGGTATGGGTCACTGACAATCAGATCAAAACACTCAGACAAACTAAAATTAACAATACTAAACACTGTTTGATTTTAAAATTAAGTCAAATATGAATTCACAAGCTAACCTTTTTATTATATACAATGTTTCTTCCTTTGTGGCACTGAATACATTTGTTTTCAAACACTTTCCAAAGTTCTGCTAAATACAACTTCTAAGCTGATAATACTATTACTGGGTTTTACCCATTGGAGCCATCATCTCTTCATCTGTCCTCTCATCACTACAGCCACACAACTGCTTGCCAAAACAAAAACCTTTGTCCCTTTCCCCTTAGGGATTTTCCTTCTTGGGAAACTATAGAGAAGCCATTTTCTTTTCCCTGTACTAGTAGAACTAGATTAGCTTGCCTTTTAATTGTTCAACATTGATTTATTTAAATCCTTTATACTCACCTTTAATAAAGGTGTAAATTACAATATATATATGTTTGTGTGTGTGTATATTTAAAAGTTTGTGGCACACAGTAAATATGTTCGGATGTACCCCTGACGTATATTAAGTGAATATTCCTCTGAAAAAAAGTGCAGTAGTCCATTTTAATTTTACTAAAATAAATTATTTCTAGAATAGATCAAAACAAGTAGAGGGCACCTACGCTGACGCTTACAACTTGATCCATTATGGTAATTTAGGTTTGATTAAAAATCTGAATGCCTACAATATAATAAATAAATAAATCTAAGCCTCTACAATAATCTAATATCTAATAAATTTAAATACCTTCGATATAGCACTATAATATTATACACTATTGGTGTATACAATTTTTTAGGATTCTTGGTAACATTCATTTCCATGAAAACTGATATCGGCTTCTTCAGCTTCATTACAACCAAGATTATGACCACTATTTGTCTTCTTATAACAAGGTAAGACCAACCAATATTTTCTTATGATAAAATTAATAATTATACTCTCATATTTTATACTTTATTTATCTTTATGTTTAAAAATATCATTGTTGTGTAAACAAAGTGTCTGTTGATTTGAAAAGTTAAGTTATTGAAAAAAATATTTGTTACAACAACAAATCTTTATAATATGTCTCACTAGACGATATAGATTTTAGTAGGAATGGTACTTCTCATGCTCATCAAATAAGATGTATAAAATTAGAAGGTTTTAAAATTGATATGGTTTTAAAAAGTCGATGGATGGGGACGAGATAAATCTGGGATATCAACACCCTATATACTGGGCTCTTAAATTAAATAGTAATTAACTTTTAAAGCCCTTAAATGTACTGTTTTCGAGACGAATAATAATCCATCACGAAAGTTTTTCAGATGATATGTTAGCTATGGGATGCTTGTAACATGTTTAGAATTTAAAAATTAAAATATTGGTGATGTGGAATTAAAGATCGTGCTGTGGAATGGGTGTTCAAATCGGGAATGATGTCATCCACAATTTGCAGTATGCCGATGATCAAGTCATAATCGTATCGGATCCGGATGATGTTAGCTATATGATAAGGGAGTTGCTAGACACGTATTCCAGATGGGGTCTGAAAATCAGTGAAAGTAAAAAAAAGTATATGGTTTTCAACGCTCCAAATTTGCCCCTTGAAATTGATGACTGGACGCTAAATGTCAGCCAGCAGTTCAAGTACCTCGGATACTGGTTATCTTCAAAGGGTGGTAGTGAGGTTGATATCGAACATAAAATAAAGAATGGGAAAAGAATAATAAGTTCGATAAATTCAACCTTATGGAGTAAAGAAATAAGATTAGAAACTAAAAAGAAGATATACCATTCCTTTGTAGAAAGCGTAGCCACTTACGGATCAGAAGTCTGGACACTGACAAAAAAGATGGAAAATAAGTTGCTTTCCATGGAAATGGATTTCTGGAGAAGAAGCTGTGGCATATCCAGAATCGAGCGGATCCTAAACGCAGCTATTAGAGACAAGGTCGAATGTCAAATGAACATCCTTCACCTGATTGGGACCAAACGGTTAAAGTGGTATGGCCACTTAATGCGGATGGATGAGAACCGCTGGCCAAAGAAAATTTATAACTATATGCCACCTGAAAGAAGGAAGCGTGGAAGGCCAAAGAAGAAATGGACAGAGGACGTGGAGGAAAGCATGGCAGCCAGAGGGCTTCGTGAAGGAGATTGGATGGACAGGGAGCAGTGGCTTTTGGGTCTTGGGGATATGACTCCTTAAGTTGTATAAAACCCAAATAAAAAAAATAAAAAACATTGCTGTTTATGATAGTCCTCGACGATTTAAACACTCAAAGGAAAAGCTAAATGAAATTTATATACCAAGTATTATTATAAAGCAAGTATTATGTATAAATTTGTATTCCGATTTTTTCCAATGAAGGTTCAAAGTGTTTTTGAAATCAATTTTATGTTTGAAGTCTGTTGCATGTCTTACAAGCGCCGTTTTTGGATCTTTTATTCCTTCATTTTTGTCTTTGTAATCTGAACTAAGTATTTTTTCAACATCCCTATTACAGGTATAGGTGTGAAAAAAAAACGCGGTCATCTGAGGAAAACGAAAAACCAAAAGAGGAAGAAGGCAAGAGTTGGGTTTTGGCTAATTACCCTGAGCATAAGACAAGCCCAACTGAGACTACCCATAGCATCAGCATGCTGCTTCTATACAATTCAGGTAGCCATTGAAACAGGTTGTTGATATTTTCAAAAAGTTCTATATTTTGGTAACAAAAACATCATTCTGCTTGATATTGAACTATTTAAGTAAATTGATTAAGGTGATTCTGTAACAAGCTCTTCGATTTTTTTTTAAAACATTTTATCTTGAGTACTATGTTTTTATATACTCCTCAAAAATAAAAGAGTCATATTGTTTTTAAGTTCTAATTTTGTTGTTAAGCTGATTTCTATGTTGTTGTTTTTTTACACTCAAAGTAAACAAAGATGTAAGCTAATGATTTAAACCGTATATTTATTTATTTACTTGGGGATATTGTTTAATGCTCATTTTTATAAAAAGAAACATAGATACTTGTCCATTAGCCGGGCGGGACGGACTGCTATCTGCCAATGTTTATAACCTCAACACTGATAATTCTGATAAGGCACTGATAAGCCTTCTCCTAATTCCTATCTTCGTATTCATATTTATTGTATGATATTCTTATTATTGAAATTGTGGACAAAAACAAAAACAAATGTAATAATAAAAAAACTTTTATTTTACGACGTATATATTAAATTTATATATATATATATATATATATATATATATATATATATATATATATATGTAGAAAATGTGATAATTCCCACAACAATCAGAAAACACTTTAATTTTACATATATAAGACTTAAAACTTATATAAGGCATATACATATATAAGGCACGAAATGGACAAAAATAAATGTAATGATAAAAGAAATGAAATAATAAAAAAACACTTAAAGAACCTATGTACATATAAAAGAAACAACATAAACACTATAAAAGACAGATGTACAATTTATTTTCACTTCATCATATTTATATTGGTTTGGCGAGATGGTTTTGGTGAAGGAGGTAATTCCCAGAATGTAACAAGATCCATAATTTGACGAAAATAACACAAACGGGCCAAAAATAAAGAATTTAATAACTGACAAATAAACAATGTAATAACTGAAAGGTTTGGCGAGATAAGAAGAGAGAGGTTATTTGATGTAACTTTAAAGTAGATAACAAGGGATGTTTCGTCCCGCCTAAGCTAATGTACCAGTACCAACATATACAATAAAAAAACCGAAAGACATGCTTTCTTCATTAAAATCGTGATTATCAATCAATTTTTATTTTTTCATTAATAATGAATGCAAATAGTGTTCAACGAAGGCATCTAATTGAAGTCTATGTGACTAGAGCTGTCTGAACTCTGCTGGAGAAGGACATTCACAGGGTCACATTGGAATCCGTCTGGAAGTATTACAGGTAGTGATCTGGAGGTTGTGGCAACGATGTTTAGTGACTTGATGCCTCACTATACTTCTTAGACAAGGTCGTAGAACGGTAACAAGTGCATCCGAAAACAGATTTTTAAACTCATCATAACCTGCTCAATGAATAAAAAAGTGCTACTGGGGTACATGTTTTGGGCCAAAATGTGAGAAATAATAAAGAGTGCTAAAAGTTTCAAGAGTGACTAAAAAAGTTTCATCTTTAAGTAGGGCCTCACAAAATTGTAAGCAATTTATTTGCAAGGGAATATCTACTTTGGGATATGAGACTGTAGTATTATTTACTTAATTTACCCTTAAATGATTGGTTCAGACCTCAATCCATTTGAGGATTTATGGTGTCACCTCCGATGTCCATGTAAGGACCAATTAGACCAGCTGCAGAATATCAAGAAGGTAAAGCAGAATTACACCAATAGTGGCAATAAATTTCCAAATAAGAGTACAATAACATTTACTTAAATCAGTTAGGTTTAACTTTGGAAATAAGCGACTCATATTTACATTTATATAAATAAATATCTTCTGTTCTAGTGATTTCAGGATTGAGCGCTATCTACTGTTTAGCAATTCTTATTCTTAGCGAAGCTGTGGATATAAATATTTTCAAAATAGTCGGCTTTTTTAGCTTAGTCTTCTCCGCCAGCTTCACGATCCTGCTTAGATTTCAGCCTACCAACGACAGGACTAATTTAGCCTTTAGAGTGAGATATTTATCATATATTCTAATCTATTAGTATTCAAATACATATTTATATAACTTATGCGACTGTGGAATAAAATAATAAAAAAAAAAGGAATGAGGTTGAGATATAACATACTCGGCTTTAGAAACAATATTGCTTTATTTGTAAAGTAATCCTTCTTATATACATTTAAGGCTTTGTTTACATTCTAGGATGGTATTAAGGCTGATACTGTCCTTATCTTATAATCAAAATGTTATATTAAACTTATGAAATAATAATAAAAGGTCATAGGGAAGTGGCGACCACACCGCCCACTCATTGTACCGGAGTCCAGATTGGAGGAACAGTACACTAATACACATACAGTACACAATTACAGTGCACTAAATACAAGGTCACATACAATATATACCCCAGGGCCACCTTTCCTAGAATGCAGACTAGTTAGGGAGAGAGGGTAGATAGCCCCACTACCCGAAGTACCACGTATTGTGAAACCCATTCCAGCATCAGGTGTGATCAGTCTTAAAGAAAAACGGCATGGCGCACCCCATGGAATTCTTAACTTTGGATTTTGGAATACATTGTCTGTTTATATATCCGGAGCAAAGCTGCTCTTAGATCAACATAAGTATGAGATTGACATAGGCACTATCCAGTAGATCAGATGGACTTGTCAAGGAATTCTTAAGAAAAGGCGCCACTCCATTTACGACAGCTGACATGAGAGCCGGCATGAATTCGGTATAGGATTTGTCGTAAAGGGAAAGTACAGGCAAATGGTAATAGTATTTAAACCAGTGAGTTCAAGAATCTCTCTCATAATAATGCGCGGAAATTTTATAACGATAGCCTCCTAGTGTACATGCCCCCACAGAAGTGTCTGTCAAAGAATATAAGGATGCTTTCTATGAATTTTTGGAAAGTACTCTGGATGCATGTCCTAGGTATGTCATAAATGTTATTGCTGGAGATTTTAATGCCAAGTTGGGAAAAGAAGCAATATACAAGAGTATAACTTGAAAACACAGCCTTCGTGATGTAAATAATGATAATGGACTAAGGCTCATTAATTTCTCAGAGTCCTAGAACCTAGTAGTAGGGAGAACTCTGTATCCGCATCAGAATATCCACAAGGATACATGGATGTCATACATCCGGTCAGTTGTAAACCGGATTGACCATGTTATGATAGGAAGACTGCATAGAAACAAATTACAAAATGTGAGAACATTCAGAGGAGCAAATGTGTAGATTTGAACCACTTTCTGATCATAGCACATATGACGGCGAAGAACTGCGAAGGAATTCGAAAGCTGCCAATAAACCCAAAAGCTTCAATATTAGAAAGCTAAAGGATGCACAAATTCAGCGTAACTACCCAAGTATTAGACATTAAAGTATGACAGGGATTCTACGACTGGCCAGGACATTGAAAAGTTTTGGTCGCACTGTTACAGGGGAATAATGCAAGCCGCCAAAGAAGTGCTAGGACCACACAAAAAGGAAATAAGGTCATCCTGGTTCGATGATGAAAGCAGAGCAGCCATGAACAGCAAGAATAGTGCGTACGAAACGATGATTAGGGCAACCACAAGGAAGTCTGTTGATGAATATCAACAGAGAAGGGAAGCAGAGAAGTGATTAAATTGCAAAAAAGAAAGGAAAGAAGCAGAGGGAGGAGCTAGAAAATATGGAACTGCTACTCAATATCAAAGAAAGTAGAGATTTATTCAGATTAGTCAACATGAAACGAAAGCAATATGTTAATAAACTGCCAACAGATGTTACTTTGGGTTAAGCAAGCATCTAAGCAGGTGGATACTTTTCAGACAGACCAAGCTTACTTACCAAACATACTTTCCACCTCTATAAAACATTGGTGCGTCCCGTACGTCTTTCTTCGAAGGCTACTGAAAAGGCACTCCTTATTTTTGAAAGAAAAGTTCTCCGCCGTGTTTTTGGAGGAGTGCAATTTGGAGAGGAGTGGAAGTGGCGCACGAAGTTCTCCTCCCCCTCCCTTCGTAGATCTGCCTGTGTTCAGAATTGGTCTGGTCAATGTTTTATTTAGCCGTAATTTGGTTGATCCAATGCAATGATGAAGAGCAGACACGCTAGCGCTTCACCCTATATTACAATGTTCGTTGCAAAGCTTACACCTGATTATTCGCCCTTTACAACCTTCACATATATAGATATTGCCATGTCAACTCAATAAAATTGACCATATCAACTCAAACTATTCGTAATCGTTCGGGAGAAGTTGGTCTAACATCTTATGTCCCTTTGAGACAACCTACTCCAACACTGTGCCGTCAGCACCTCCACAGATCATGGTACAGCGAGCGCCTAGATGAGGATACAAATTGGAATACTGTTATGTTTACGGACGAATTGTGTTGCTGTACTTATAGTAATCATATGCGCCAAAGATTCTTTCGAGAATAGTTTATACTTTAATGCAGTCTAGAGGTGGAAGTGTGACGATATGGCATGGCATCTACTGAAGAGGACGCACATCTGTATTGTGAAAGGTGATGTCGTAGCATTTCGTAATGTTTAAGAAACTCTAAAGGAGTTCATTTCTCAAACCCGAACCCTAATTGCCTCAAGTTTCCATTTTTTTTTACAACAATACCTCATACGAAAAAGGTTGTTCAGTAATATATTGAAAATCTGGGCATTTTACATCCGCCTCTTGCATCCCCAGATCTCATTCCTATCAAGACAGAATGCAATGTGGAGAAGGCTTTTTGACCACCATTTGCGCTTTATAGACTTCAGCAACTAAGAGCTTTATTACCATGTTTCTGAAGAGAAGGATGGTTGGGGTGATCAATCAAAATAAAAAATAGTAAAAATAAATAATTATTTTTTTTAAAATAAATAAATATAATTATTTATATTTACTATTTTTTATTTTGAATGATCACCCCAACCATCCTTCTTTTAAATTGTTCACTAGTTAGTTACCCATCAACCCTCAATTACCATGTTTGTGATATGAAATTCCTTGTAAAATGAGTGACAACATTTTAATGATGAACGTCCAATGATCTAAGTTTCCTTGAAGCCAGTCTATGACAGACAATGCAAATCTCTTAACTCTGTTTTATTGCAATGGAAAATAACAGTTTAATAACTAATAATCGTTCAAACCATAATCAACGGATCGTACAATCCATAATCAACGGATCGTACAATCCATAATCAACGGATCGTACAATCCATAATCAACGGATCGTACAATCCATAATCAACGGATCGTACAATCCATAATCAACGGATCGTATAACCCATAATCAACCGTTGATGTAATAAATAGGGTTTTTGTTATTTTATTAGTATTTATGATTTTTTAGCTGTTAGGCTTTTAGGTTTAGCTCTGTTAAAAATGCAATTCAAAAATTTTATAATAGCCCAACATGACCAGAATCTAATTTCTATTTAAAGTTGAGCGGTAAGTGAAAGTTATATGTTACATGCACCAGATTTTTATCTCTTTATCCAGTAGTCTCACCTTAACAAAATCCATTTTTACATCTTTAATTGACTCTAATGCTGCCACAGTTGTACCAAATTCTTCAGGCAATGTCAAGAATATATGACATACTTTATCAGTTTCATCAAATTGTGTTCCCATGTCCACTAATTATCTAACAATAATATAGAATTTCAATAAATGATCTTCCATGCTGTTAACAACAGAATATTTTAGATTAAATAACTTACACCATAATGTCTGTTTAGAAAAAGCTGTAGTTCTCACAAAAACATCCTTAGCTTTAAATTAAAGTTTAAAGGGTCTTTATCATTAACTTTGCTGTTGTAAAATTCTTCACTAAGATAAGATGTTTGTCAGAAATTTTTCTTAACGATAGTTTTAGCTTTGGCATCTTGTAACAGGAATGCTTTCTTGATGTTTTCATCATCCGGTATTTCTTTTGTTAGCACATCCTTAATCTGTTCTTTTTCTAATAATGCATTGATTCTAAACTCCCAATTACTATAATTTTACCTGACTAGAATAGGAACTGCAGAAATTACTTTGGCTATGGCTTCTATGTTCTTATAATCACACAAAATTAAGTGGCGATCCCAAACAATTGTCAATACACTCGGCCCATAATCTGTTAATAATGGTTAGGGTTTATTTATAAAGTAAACATAGAAAATAGAGAAACGTTTGTTGTAGAAGAAGATTACACACACAAAAGAGCCATATCAAGGGAGTACATTGTTCTGATCACTGACGCCATATCTGACAGTGTTGCAGGTAGAATATACAAAACAGATAAAACATCAAATAATTATTCCTAACACTAGTTACTTATTCTATATTTGAAACAATTTATTAGTTTTGGAAAATGAAAAGATTTTAGAAATTTAGGTTCTTTGAAGTTACTTTGGAGCTAAATGGTAAAATGGTAGAAGGAACCCAAAAACCACCGCCATTCTCCTATTTATTAGTCTTAAGGAGGTGGAGAGAATTCATAATTATTTTAAAACCCTAAAGCATACTAACTACATTTATACTAGTTACTGAGTTTATAACAATAATTAATAATTTTCGCAGGCACCTTCTATACCTTTGTTTCCGTTAGTGGCCATAGCAGGAGATTTCACATGCTTTTTGATAATGTCCCAGCAAACTTGGGTGTATGGGTTCATGTGGACAGGCTTAGGTGAGTATTTTAACTTATCAAATATATTGGAGTTCACAACACAGTTTTCTACGTCCTCTGTTCTTACTTTCTCTAGCTTTTGTGTCCCTCTTCTCAAAAATTCTTGAATGAAAAGTAGGAAAATCATTCAATTTCGTTTTCCTTTTAGCTTATCTATGTAAATAGTTAAAATTTATGAAATTGCTTTAATTGATTCACATGTTGACAAAATTTAACATAAAAATTTGGGGGTACGAGGGAGTAAAATTTTTGCGGGGGCTGATGGAATTGAACAAATTATACTTCTTGTCTTGTGGTGTTTATTATAATTTGTCATCAATTTAATAACAAATAACGATTGAAAAATAACTGTTAATTCAAATTTCTCTATAATAACAAAAATGTTTACATATTATGTATATATATTGTAACATCTCCCTTATATTTTAGAAATAATAATATAACCTCGTGGCAGACCACTTTATACCATTGGGATATTTCATAAATAAATAACAGGTTATTAAATAATAAACAAAATTATAAGAGCATTAATATATTTATTTATCTCAGGTGTGGGTTACTGACAATCAGATCAACTCAGACAAACTATTATTATTTATACTAAACATTGTTTGATTTTAAAATAAAGTCAAATATGGATTGGCAAGCTAACCTTTTTCTATATTATATGTTTCTTCCTTTGTGACACTGAACTCATTTGTATTCAAACAACTCTTCCAAATTGGTAATACTATTATTGGTTTTTCCCCACTGGAGCCAGGATCACTTCTCCCATCCTCTCTTCACCCCAGCCAAACACCAACAACTGCTTGCCAAAACAAAACCTTTGTCCCTCTCCTCTGTGGGATTTTCCATCTTGGGAAATTACAGAGTAGCCATTTTCTTTTCCCTGCACTAGTAGAACTAGATTAGCTTGCCTTTTAATTGTTCAACATTAATTTATTAAACCCTTTTTACTCACTTCCAACAAAGGTGTACATTACAATATTGTATCATATTTTATTAGGGCCTTTATAAATTGTAATTTGTACAGATTCAGAATCTGCTCTTAAAGCTATTAAAAATTCATTTTCAACTAACTTATTAGTCACTGACATAGTTAGGCATATAAAAACATTGGAGAGTGTAGGATGTAAGATACAATTTTTGTTGTTACCGGGTCACTCAAGTGTTAGAGGTAATGCGCTATCCAATATTGTGGAAAAACAAGCAATCACGGAAGGAACTCCAGTAGGGGATGCTTTTCCAAAAGAAGTAGTAGGTTTGGTAAAGAGAAAGGCTCTGGAGAAATGTTCTCTGGCATGTTTTAGGAGACAATAAGTTGAGAGTGATCGAGCCCTCTGTAGTTCCAAATCGAGCAAGCCTTGAGTTGAATAGAAGAGAAAGAATAATGCTGACAAGGCTCCGAATCGGCCACTCACGGCTAACTCATGAACACCTGATGACAAACGGGACGCCCCCTCAGTGTCTCTGCTGCAGTGTTAATTTTAGGGTGAGGCACATTTTAACTGAATGTTATGCATATGAAGTACAATGAAATGAAGTTAAATTGGAGAATGATATTACTGCAATTTTGAAAAACACCACCAAATTGGCAAAACAATTGTTTACATTTCTTCAAATAACGCACCTATATAACAAAATTTAAATTTTCCTGACTCTTTTTTGGAAATTTTAATGTTTTAAATATTTTTTACTTTCAATTTATGGTTAAATTTCATCTGATCTAATATAAATAATGTGTAAGGGCTAAAATGACCCGTAAGAGGTTGAAGAGCTCGCCATAGTTATAAATAAAAATAAGATAAATTGTAATTGTTTACAAAATTTCACGTTCATGTTTTGTTATTTGAACTTTGTGAAAAAACGTATTTATATGTAAAATATTTTATTAAGTCTTTTTAATTTTAAAAATTGTTTTTGTTTTTTTAGGAAATTTATTTATTGAGATATATTACAATCTGTCACATTTAAGGAAAACAGTAGTAGTGATAAAGACTAGCTCATCCATACTATGCACAATAAATAAAAATAAATAAACAGCAATATAATAATACCAAAGTAAATGTATATAAACTAAGAGATACTATACTAAACAAAAATAAACTAATCTAACAAAATAAATACTTAAATACACACATACTTTTATACAATATTTACAATATTCATTCACTCAAGGTCTCCGATCCAAGCCTTTCCCCAAACTCCTGGAGGGAAAGGTAGGGCTCTAGGAGATCTCAGTGTCTTTCACTCAGCCGCATCACTGGTATTACCAATGGAGGCTGAACAGAGACACTATAACCAGACATACATGGCTTGAGTGGAGAATCTGGCCATTGCCAGAACTCCATATATTCTTACAACAGGTCTTTTTGCCACTGCCGCTTCAACTTTCGAGGAGGATTTTAGGAATGAGTAGAGCTAGAGAGTGATTGTGCAATTGGATTGGATTGATGATATGGAAGTTTTGATGGAATTTAGAACATTTTAGAGGGATAAGGTCTAGGAAAAATGAGATATTTAGGTCATGGTGAAGGGTTTGGTTGGTTACATAGAACGAAGCATCAACTATTGTTCGAAGGACTTTGGACTGAAAGGATTGAATGTGTTTGATGTTAGAAAATTGTGCTGTCCCCAACTGTTCCAGTCCATCGCAGGTCCAAATAGGTTGCAGTATTGTCTTGTAGATCAGTAGTTTTTTGTCAATTGAGAGTTGAGATATTCTATTCAGTAGTCTACATAGATGGCCATATTGTCGGTTTTTGTTTGAGAAATTGTAAAAACAATATTATCATATAAACAACTATAAAAAAAAGTATGATGTATTAGATGAGACGGAGCGGGAGCTGTTTCTCTAAGGGAGATAGAATTGTAAATAACTTGTGGTAGGGTGCACAGGCGGATCTACGGGGGGAGGGCTTTCGGGCTGAAGCCCCTCCCCAAATGGTAAAATATAACCATGTTTTACAGAAAAAGATACTAAAAACTATCTCTTAAAGTATTCTTGTTCATTTAATTACATTTAATAGGACTTCAAGAACCACTTAAACATCATTTCGTATAGGTAGTTAATTTCTATAATAGTTTTTTTTTAATTAATCATTTTTATACTTATATGAAAACAAATCTTTCGGGCTGAAGCCCCCTCCCCCAAAATTAAATCCTGGATCCGCTAGTGGTAGGGTGTATTGGAGGATGCGTGTGGCACCCTCTAGGCTTTGTTATAATGAACTATGTCATTAATTAATATAGGTCATTGATAGTTCTAATAATGATTAGTCTAGTCATTTTGGTAGCGCAACCTGTTACTTCCCCAGTGAATTATGTATTCCATTTTGAACATATTTATTATTTCTTTTTGTAATTATTCCTTTTGTAAACACCTAATGTTTATAATATTTTTAATGTAAGTATTTATGAACTATAGTTAAATAAAAATAAAAGAAGTTTGGACTAAGAGATCTCAGGGCCTAATTAAAATACTTGTAACTAGTGTTGCATCTCACTAACCTGAAAACAGGTCTGAGGTTTGGTTATTAGTTAAAATAGGGGCCTGTTTCCTAAGACAGGCAATTTAATCTCAACTCAAAATACCTAAAGGTAAAGAGAGGTCAAACATACCAAACGTATATATATACGTACATAACTGTATATATATACAGTACTTGTAACATATTTTTTAGAGAGGGTAAGAAAAAAAAGGTTATAAAAAAAAATCATTAATTATGAACAAAAGCAAGGGCGGTCCCTCCACGCCGGGTGAAGAAATTAAGGCCTAAGGACACAGAATGTATCTTATGCTTACCGCATAATCAGTCCCTTACCTTAAAATACCTTTGGGTGAGGAAAGGTTCTATGAATATTATGTATATATATTTATTAGTTAACTGTATATTGTAATTAGTTTAAATAAAGTTTCTTGGAGTCAGAAAAAAAAAGACGGGCAATCTGTTCCGACTTACTACCTCTTCTTCCCCAAAGACTCCTGGGATCACTCTGTCTGACAGTTTGATACCAGACCGTTGTATTATTTTTTATCCTATCTGCTCTTCTTCCCCTCGCCGTCTGCTCTCTCCTGACCTACCTCCTTTTTCATTTCGTAGGATTAACGTGTTTGTACCACGTTTTCTTGCGTCCCTCTTGCGCCTTCCAGGTTGTCCTTGGGAGCATGAGGTCACCTACCTTGCAACGTCTGGGGATTGCCTTCTCGGATTTCTGAGCCCTGGATGTATAGGGGTTGCCCCTCTATCATTCTTGATGGTCTTACCTTTTATACCTTATCCGTCTCATCCTATCTAAACTTATACGCCCCATCTTTATTTAATATAAGGGTAAATAGATACACAAAGATCAGGTTATTTGACCAACAGACAGACAGAGTAAAAGTTACAACAGATTACATATTTTAAAAGAAGAATGTCAATAAAAAAATAAGTATCAGAGAGAGAGAAATTACAATATATTGTAACGTTCCTCTTTCCCTTCAAAATCAAATAACGAGTTTCCTTTTTCAATATACTATTTATTTTAACACATAACATAAATCTCAGGTTGGGTTCTGACAACTGAACACTCATTCAACATTAAATAACTATAATTTACTAATTACTAAATACACTAATTATACATATAAAATTTATTATTGTTTTCAAAAACCTTGATTGTCCCAGTCTAAACTTTGTGGCTCTTTCTATTTTCTCCGCTTGCTGGCTAGTACCTTCTCTCTTGACAGCTTGTCACATTTTCTCTTGGCCGCTATCACCTTCTCTCTTGGCGGCCCGTCACATTCTGAGTTACATGAGGCTTGCTTCCCCCACCATCTGCACTCACTTTCTCCCCGTAGTTCGGGCTGTTACCACTTTTGCGCCACTATTTAAATGCCATGTAATGTTGACATTACATTTCTCCTCCGTTCCAGTTTAAAAAAAAAATAAAAATGGAAATTTAAAATTCGGTGAAATATTTACATTTTTTTTTTCATATAAAATAATAAATTTAACTTTTGACATTCACACTCTTCACAATAGATTTCCCAACCTTGTTAGCAAACATTTACAATTTTATATACAAAATATTGAATTATTTACACTACATTACCTTAATCTACATACAGTAATTACATAACTTGTTCATCTAATTTATGTACAGGAAAAGTAGATTGATATACAAATAATAAAATAAGCTAAATACATTATTTACCAAAAGAATTTTACCGTACAATTCCCATATCTTATGTATAATTAACTTACAAATTAACTGTTTAAATTACTTATATAACATTCAAAAATATATTTTAACTTGTATTATAGGAATAATCAGAGAGAAGACATTAATTAATTAAGACAATTTCTAACTTTCTTCTAAAATTTGGATTTTACCTAGCAATATCCGGCCAAAACAACTTATTTAACTTTTAGATCTTAATCTATTATCCTATCTACCAACAATGTAATTAGACTATTTACAATATATTTACATGTTATCCATGAGTAACCTAACGATGGTTTCGCCAGGACCCTCTAGCTCGTCAACGGAAGGGACGCTAATTTAAAACCCTTTTTTATCCTCTGGATAGGATAAAGACTACCGTGTCTCACTATAACATAATGAGCGACCTGCCCTAACATGATCCAGAATCATATAACCCCCATAAAACTCATATTCTAGAATAAGTAGGATGACTGGTAATCCATTACAATCAAAATTATACTTAGTGAGTCCATGGAATGACACTTCATATAATCCTGTTCTTTTCTTACTCCAGTCATCAAACTTTCCTGACTCATCTTTAAATCGTAGAGTAAACTTTTCTGGAATTAAAGGAACTTCTGAACTAAAATAATTACCATGCTTTTTTCTGCTGGATTTTACTCCTTTGAACTCAATTTGAAACTTGAGAAGTTCTTTCTTTATATCTATAAGATTAACTGTATGAGTTTCTACTAGAAATTCTGTTGTCACTAATTTTTCTTCAAGAGTTTCTTCTTCTTCTTTTCTTAAGAGATTTTCTGATCCAATATCAATTGAAGAATTAATTTTGCTAAGCTCTTCAGTAACAATTTGCTTCTCATCACTTTCTGAGTGACCAAAAGTAGTATTCTCAGCCAGTTTAGTTTCTTGAACTTCAGTTATATTTGCAATAATTTGGGTTTCTAGGTTATCACAATCTTGTTTCAAAAGTTCCTGTTCATTATTAGAAGTTTTTTCAGCCAGTGTAGTTTCTTGGACTTCAGTTATATTTGCAATAATTTGGGTTTCTAATTTATTTTCTTGAATTTGACTTTCCAAATCCCGCTTCCAAGCCTCTTGCTTGTTTTCAATACTACGAAGAATAGTCATTACTTGTTGAAACATACCACACACATCAGCACAACTCAAATTGTTGGCACCACCTATGTTTATTTTTTCACGCTCCATATTATTTTCACTAAACTCCTGAACTTCATTTAATCCCGACGGAGTTTCGCACTGTCTATTTTCATCAAGTAGGCTTTGTACAACTGATTCTGCCTTATTTTCTACAATAGCAACATTCCCTTTAGATTTTCCAAGAATTATATTATTAAGATCTGGAACTTCTGCTATCTCTCTCTTCTTATTCTCCATACTACTCAAAAATTATTAATAAAAAAAATAAAATTAAAATTAACAAGGATTGCGTGTTCAGTTGTCGTGACTGTGTACGTCTTCAAAAGCCACGCTAGTTGGGCGTCATGTTGTAACGCTCCCTTTGTCAACATAAATCAAACAACGAGTTTCCTTTTTCAATATACTATTTATTTTGACATATAATATAAATCTCAGGTTGGGTTCTGACAACTGAACACTCATTCAACATTAAATAACTATAATTTACTAGTTACTAAATACATATAAAGAAACTAGATACATACATTAAGAAATTATACATATAAAATTTATTATTGTTTTCAAAAACCTTGATTGTCCCAGTCTAAACTTTGTGGCTCTTTCTATTTTCTCAGCTTGCCTTTCTACCTTCTCTCTTGACAGCTTGTCACATTTTCTCTTGGTGGCTCATAACCTTCTCTCTTGGCCGCTATCACCTTCTCTCTTGGCGGCCCGTCACATTCTGAGTTACATGAGGCTTGCTTCCCCCACTTCCTCCCCGTAGTTCGTGCTGTTACCACTTTCGCGCCACTGTTCAAATGCCATGTAATGTTGTATATATATGAGATGTATATATGAGAAGTAATATATATGAGAAGCGTCTCACGGATGGAGGATGTGGGAATGATCGGTGGAAATTTCTTGAAAGTTCCTGCCGGCTAAATCCGATGTACTCGCTGTCCAACAATGAGAGTGTGTGATGTAGGACTGAGGTTCCTACTCACATACCTTTAGTTCACCATAAACCACAGTCATGGATCTCACAAAAATAAAACCCTCATTATCTGGAGGTAAACTATTCCCCCATTCGGGTCTCTGGGTGGGGATTGCTTTAGGGGATTCTTGGTGCAAGTTGAAAACTTGTGAGTTAGTAATTGGTTTGGGAACGTAAGCAGTTTGAATTTAGCAGTTGGTTTAAAATCGGTCGCGGATGAGGTCAATGGGCACCAGTCGGATATCGTGGCTCTGCAAGAGGTGCTCTGGCCAGGTTAGGGCTCGATAAGGCAAGAAAAGTACACTATCTGATATGAAAAAGTGGGAAGTTTAGGTGCTGGATTTCTAATTAGAAATAAATTGCTATTCGCTTTGAGAGACCTACTTGAAGTCAAATTGCGAATTTTATGATTAACTCGAATGGGTTTATGATAAACTACCGCAAAATTCTATGAAAATAAGTGAGTGAAGCAAACGCATAGGTGGGGTGGGAAGAAGTTTATTTTCCGACGATTGATAAAGAATGTTTGCATGAATATAGTAATGATAATGGGACCCGCCTGAAAACATTTGCTCTCTCGAAAACCTGATAGTTAAGAGTGCTATGTTTAAACATAAGGATATTCATAAATATACCTGAACATCCGGTAATAATGGAAACAGTATCGGTGTTGTAGTGATATTTGTTTTTGTTTGAGGGTATGAAATAAAAACAATCCAGTTCAGTTAGTTATTAAAATGTATAATTGAGAAGGCCTTTGCATTTTCTGACGATTAACAAAATCTCTGTACATGATGAAAATTGATAATAAATACATTTAGTATAATTGGGCAGTCTATGCATTAGCATTTCTTATTAGAAAGAAAGTTAACAGGAGGTTAAATTATGATTACTTGTTATAGATGTTGTAAACTTAAAAAAATAATTAGATGTAATATAAAAAATAAATAAATTCAACAATAGGTCTTGTAATTTAAAAGCCACACCTCGTAGTTTTGGATAATGAAAACCAACTCATGAAGGAGAGATTAACGAATGACCTTAAAATAATCATGGGAGACTGTGGAATGAAATAAACTAATTCTGAATGAAACAATTTCTCTAGAGTTAGTCCTCTAACAATGCCTAGACTGGTTATGGACGGAATTCATCACCTGGCCCTAGCTATCCAAACAGAAGGGGAAGAGTATATGAAAATGAAAACTCGTAATTTTACTGTCAGACAGATTTGGGTCGGTGTTCTCCTCGCTAAGAGGCACTAAGAAGGAAGATAAAAAAAGTAGAAAGATTTAAGGCTGTTTTTTTTTCAATGATCTTTTTTTTTTCATTTTTTACTATTTTTCATCAAAACTTATTTATTTTAATCTAATTAAATACTTTGACGACAGGTATCGCATTCTACTTTATCTATTCGATCCGGCATTCCCAAGAAGGCAGAAACCTCTACGCGGATGGCTCAAGGTGGAACCCATTGGAACCCACGGGATCAATCGACAAACCGCATCCGCTGGAAAAGAGGAAATTATAGATTGTTGAAGGTTATAACAATGACAATACTTGAAATAATAAAGCTATTGTCTCTTTTTCTTTTTGTATCTAGTAATTCACTGTAAACGAGAGGTGTCACAAAAAGTGTTTCAAGAGTGTGGAAAAAGTAATATGTATTCCTCCTCCAAACTATCACTATTTTCACTAACTATATACCAATCTACACTGTATACTACACAATAATATAGTTCCCTTTCCGGCTCTTAGAAGCTATTGATTTTGGTTTGGAAAAATAGAATTTGATTTGTAGAGATGGAAAAGTAACAAATGCTAATTTTATAAATTAAGCCTTGTTAAACGTACTTTAAAGTCATTAAAAAATTATAACTTTTTAAACTCAGTTGATTTCTAAAGTTGACAGATGAAGATGGGATAGATTAAAGACCTTTGGAACTATTCCGGATCCATTTTTTGGGATGAACCATAATTCTTATCAAAATCTAGTTAGATATAGTTGTCATAACAGTTTTACTTATCAAACAGTTACTGTCACCGCTCAAGGTCCATAAAATTACCAGGTTCGGTCACTCAGAAATGAATAGTGGAGGGACTTGAATCATGACATAAGTACTAGACCGCCAAACCTCTCTAATGCTCTTTCATGCCAATCAATGTAGCTTTATTCGAATATTATTGTTCCTCGTTTTTTCTTTGTTATTTTATTTAAATTATGGAAGAAAATTCCCTTCTGTCTTGTTGACGCTTGATTGAATATAATTTTAAATTGATAAGTTTGTAAATAAGATCGGCAACCTAGAATAAAACACTAACTTAATAACAGGCCAGACCATTATTATTTCACACTCTCTTTTTATAAACAATAGGTTAATATATTATTTAAATAGAATAATATTTCATTTATATATACTATATATATTTCTTTAGAAAAACAGAACAAAATTGTAGCAAAATTTGAGTTTAATTTTATTCATGAATCTCATGGGTATTTCTTTTAATAATTTAACGATACCATAAATGATATATGGAGTATATATCATAATATAAACAGGTGGTCAAAAAACCAGCGCACTTTAGTTTTACATAAAAATGAAATATTAAAGATATATGTTTGAACTTGAAGTAATGGCATATGATATAAAAGGGTAAATGGAAAGTCAAAGAAGATTACCAAGAATTAATCGTAGTGAGAAAACGTCATGATTCCTTCTTAGCCCAGTAACCTTGTCAAGAAAAGAGGGTCTAAGTTGCATCCAATGGGGGTAGAAGGTTTCGTTTTTTTTCTTGTATGGAATGTGACTGAGATGCAGAATCCAAGTTTTCGAACTGGGCGCCCCCTCCCCCCCGGATCACGTTTGAAAATCCCCAAAATTGCCTTATTTTCGGTTTTCCCTAATTTTGACCATGAAGGAGCACGTTTTCGAAAAAAAAACATTCTATACATTTTTAAACAAGATTAAATATGCTACAACACAGGCAGATCTACGGGGGGGGGGAGGCTTTCGGGCTGAAGCCCCCCCAAAAATGGTAAAATATAACCATGTTTTACAGAAAAAAATATTTAAAACTATCTCTCCTGTCCTACAGTATCCTTCAACAACAGCCCTCTTATCCCTGTCGAACAAATCGGATACTTAAGACTTCACCTTGACAAACGAATCACTTGGAACCCCCATACCAGACTGAAACGACAAGAAACTGCTCGACGTTTCCGCTTACTCCAACACTTACTTGACAAACTCTCTAAACTTCCCATTAATTACAAACGACTCATATACATGACTATAATAAGACCTATTTGGACTTATGGAGTTGAACTGTGGGGCTCCACTAAACCATCAAATTCCTCTCGTATCAATCTGTACAATCCAAAATCCTTCGTAAAATCCTCAATGCTCCTTACTTTGTCACAAATAAAATAATCCATAAAGACCTCAATGTTCCATATGTTTCCGATTTGGGCGAATCCAGATACCTATCCTTCCATAATAAACTTCATAACCATCCGAATCCTCTTGTTTCTAACCTTGCTTCCTCTTCGATTCCTGATAACCCTCTGAGGCGTCTGAAAAGAAGATGGCCTCGTGATCTCCTCATGTAGACAAATTATTAGAGTGCTACCAATGGGTAGTTTCTCAACAAGCGTGTTTCATGTAATTTTATTCCTCTGTACACATTTACTTGATGTATTCATACTAATACAGTTGTAACTATCATAATAAAAGTTAAAAAAAAAAAATATCTCTTAAAGTATTCTATTTTGTGTAATTATATTTAATAGGACTTCAAGAACCACTTAAACACCATTTATATAGGTCATTAATTTCTTTATTTTTTTCAAATTAATTATAGTTATATGTATGAAAAAACATCCATGTATAATATGAAAAAAAAAATCTGAAGCCCCCCTCCAAAATTAAATCCTGGATCCTCTAGTGTGCTACAATATGGAGTAGTCTTGCTGAACTCAATTTGCACGGTGGGGTTTCCGCTTCCTGTTCTCTATTAACCGCAACACACAGGCAAATTCGACTTTATTTTTTTCGTGAACACGCTGGCTTGACAGAAGGTGATTTGTCCTCTGTTATATTTTTTTACGAGTCCAGGTATATCGTTCATCGTGCTGGCGGACGAGTTCTAGTGTGGATAAGAACAACAAAGCAATTAGCTCAGTGCAATATAGCGAGAAGGGTGGAGATCGGAAGAGAGTCGGCGACAGTTTGGATGGAAAATGTTGAGTCAAGTACAGACCTCCATGTGTTCCAAAGGCCGACACTTAGGCCTACATCACCGACATCATCGAGAAATATGTGGTGCCTTTGGGCCAGTTAACTACGAATATACAAATTACAATACGAGATTACAAGCAATACAGCATTCAAGGAAATGAAGATGACACTAGGTAATAGAGACTCAAATTTCATAATTTTTTTATTTTTTATTTATTTTAATGAAATTTGCAACTGAATTACATGAAAAACACAACAAGTAAAACTGACATTGGTAACATGACATGTACAACATGAAGAGAAACTACCCATTGGTGGAACTCAAATTATAGTTCTATATTAGAAGGTCTCGAGGCCATCTTCTTTTCACACGCCTCTGAGGTTTATCAGAGATCGAGGAGGAAGCAAAATTGGAAACGAGAGGGTTCGGATGGTTTTGCAGATTGTTAAGGAATTATATGTATCTGGATTCGGCCAAATCGGAAACATATGGAACATTAAGGTCTTTATTGATGATTTTATTTGTGACAAAGTAAGGAGCGTTGAGGATTTCACGAAGGATTTCGGATTGTAAGTATTGAATACAAGAGGAATTCGATGGTTTAGTGGAACCCCAAAGCTAAATTCTGTAAGTCCAGATAGGTCTTATTATTGTCATATATATTAGTCGTTTGTAATTGATTGAATGCTCAGAGAGTTTGTCTAGTAAGTGTTGCAGTAGTAGAAAAAGTGGGTTTCTAGCGGTTTCTAATCGTTTCTGTCTGGTGTGGGGGTTCCAAGTGAGTCGTTTGTCTAGGTGGAGTGTCCTAGGTATCGGATTTGTTCGACAGGGATAAGAGGGCTATTGTTGAAGGATATTGTAGGACAGGAAGTCATAGGTTTACGACGAAGAGTGAAGGTAATTTGATGGGATTTATTTTTATCCTTCAGTTTTGACACCATTTTTCAAGACTTGTGATGTCTGATTGACGAATTCGGGATGCAATAGATGGATCGTTATTAACTGATAGGATACACGTGTCATCGGCATAGGTGGCAGTGTTGGAAATTTCATAATTAAAAAATAATTAGATGTATTTTATTTTTGTTCATTTGCTTTATTTTACATTACGATTTTTTTAATAGGAATTTTCATTTATCTCCAAATCTCCATGAAAAATTCACTCATGAAACATTTTATCGCCATGAGTAATTTTAGAAAAAAATATGTTTTTCTTATATTTAATCTAATATTTTTTTAGAGGCTGAGTAAAAACGTTTTATACTTAGCAAAATCATTAAATAAATATACACATATATTTTTGTTTATGGTAATGTAATTGGTCCGTTGTTGTTTTCAGAGGGGGGAGGGAGTCATATATACTACTAATTCTTGGTTGGGGCGATTGTTCATCAAGTTTTTGTAACTTTTCAATTTCCGGGGAGAAGGGGTGGTTAGCTAGTTACCTGCTCCCGTCCGCTGGATCCGCAAGTGAACAGTGGAAAGTTAACAGTTGGTTCTAAAAATGTGACAAATTCCCTTGATAATAATTGCTCTTAAATATTCCAGAATAAGAATAAGCTTCCACAAGGTTGATAAAATATTTATGATCTAAAAAGAAATTCGGAGGAAAACAATTTCTAGGAAATATCTTAAAAACTAAAGCAAACTTCCATTAGTTGATATACAGTTCTAACTGAACTACAAAATGAACATTTTCATTAGTGACAGTCCTTTAAACTCATATTACGTTATCGTCAATAGAATTGCAATTAATTTAAAATAAATTACCACGAGGCCAATGTTTAATATATAAATTACATAGTATAATATAATTCACATGACAAACCATATATTTTTGAAAACTAGAGCAATTGTTACGTCGTGTTTTGTTTGTAGTTTACATTTCATGACGTAGAAACGAATTCTTAATTCTGACTGACATGTGATAACCCCGATAAACACAGCCACGAATGTCAACACACTAAATTTCTTGTCCCATTGTTCGTGATGCCCTCCTGGCCAAACACATCTATAAGTAGGCGGCAAAAAGTTAAGAAAAGAATAGGGCAAGCGAAGGCAAAAGCGTGTCACCAAAAGTTAGATGAGAATGGGATAAACGATGAGTTGGATCTTCAAACCAATAAAAAGGAAAACACAATAATTATTACTACGAGTAATCCTATCATAATTTCAAGGAATAAGTTGAAACAAAAATGTCACGACGATGATTGTACACCTCAAACGGGTAAAGTTCGAAAAAAGGGTCCCCAAAAAAAGAAAATCAATAAGAAGAAAATAGTGTGCTATTGGATGAAGGAAACTAAAAAAGAGATTGAAAAAATGAAAAAAATAT